CACCTGCTCTCTGGGGCAGTCTCCTCCCCAGGGTCCTACCTGGCAATATATTTCTGGTAAATGTTTACATCTTCGGTGACAGCTGGCTTATCTGTGGGCAATCCGTTCCTGGTGAGAGACACAGGGCACAGCCGATTAGCGGACAGGGGGTGGCCTCACGCCCCAGGAGCATCCGGGAGCAGCTCCCTGCCCTGGGGCCTGGCCCTTCGCTCCCTTGTTCGGTGGTTGAGGCCCTCAGGGTGGGACTGAGCGAGTCCCATGGCAAACGTCTGGCTTAGGTTCAATGAGCTCAGACCCAGCCAGGAGTCCGGAGCGGCAGGGCTGGGGGGCTCCGCCTCGGGCACGGGCCTGGCCTCGTCTAACTGGCAGGAGCCTCAGAAGTTGGGCCTGACCCCCCTCACACCCCGGGAGTCAGGAAGCTGCTGGCTGAGGAGGGGTGCCAGGTACCGCAGGGACGTCCCCCGTGGAAGGGGCAAGACCAGGTGTGTGGCCCCATTTCGGGGGAGAGGGTCTCATTCAGCCCCACCATCCGTGACCAGTCATCTTACCATTGGCTGGGGCAACGGTTTCAACCTTTTTCATCTCAGGGCACACACAAGCTACTTACTAAAACTCTGCGGCACACCCCAAAATACACTTTTTGCCGATCTCACAAAAAAAACTAGGTATCACATTGATTCATTTCACACCACGACTATTGTGTTGGCCGTTGTCATTTTTTTATTTGACAAACTCAGGGAAAAGAGATCAGTGCTCCTGACTAAAGAGTCGGCTATTGCATGTTTTTAAAAATTCTTGGGGCGCAGCAGCTGAAACCACTAGCCCAGGGGTTAGGGCTGAGTGTGCCCCCTCCCTCCCCAGCCTCCTGCCTTCTCTTGCTGCCTTCCCTGTGGCCCAGGCTCTGGACCCAGGAGCCATGGCCACCAGCTTGGACTCCGGAACCGCCCCCCCCCCTCGGACTTCCCTCAGGCTGTATTTGGGCCTGGGGGTGGCAGGAGGGAAAGCCAGTTACAGGCAAACAGGGTGGCAGGAGCCTGTGGTATGTGTGTTAGCAGAAAGCACATGCACAGAAATGCCCAGTGTGAGGTCTGTGTGTACAGCAAGACGTGTAGTGTGTGGGCCCCTGAACTGGGCATGAGTGCTCACGCGGGCAGAGGGACACGTGTGAATGTGTGTGTGAGCAGCAGCACCTGCGTGAGAATCCTAGAGTGTATGAGTGCATAGAGATGTGTGTGTCCACAGACATGCGCTTCAAAGTCAGGGCCGTGGCCCGGGGGCAGGCAGCGGGGAGGGGCGTGCCTTACTTGACGGTGGAGACGGTCCCCGTGGTGATGGAGTCTGTTTTGGAGAAGGTGGACTTCAGGTACTCGGGAGTGTTGAAGGGCAGGGAGGCAGCTGGCTCGGGGCCCGGCCCAGCGGCGCTGGGAGCACTGGGCACGCTGGCGAGGGGAGCAGGAGCCAGGCTGGGAGCGGGGGGCACCTTGGCAGGGCCCGGCTTCTGGATGGCCCGGACGTCATACTTGGAGGGGCGCCCCACCTTGCCCGTCTTGAAGGCGATGGCGCCGCCCATGTCGGGGCTGCCCTCCCCGGGTTTGAAGAGGTGCAGGTACTTGACGTTCTCCAGGTCGTACTTGGACGGCTTCTTGTACGTGCTCCCGTTCTGGGGCCGCAGGTTCTCGCCCGTCTTCAGTTTCTGGATGAAGAAGTCGTACTTGGAGGCCCGGGCCACCAGGCCCTGCATGGGGACGCTGCTGTGTGAGGGCAGCGGCAGGATTCCTCGGCCTTGGTGCCGTGGGCCGGCCAGGAGAGGTGCTCGCCCGCCTTGAGCTTCCGGATGTACTCCTCGTACTTGGAGAAACGCGCCCTCTTGCTGAGGGCGTCCTCGCCAGCGGGCAGCGCGGAGGAGGTGGCCACCTCGGGGGCGGAGCCTGCGTGCAGCTTCTCGAAGCTGATCTTCCTGGCCAGCTCGTCCCTCGTGTTCTGGTCGTCGTAGCCGAACATGCCCAGGAACTCGGTCATGGTGGAGGCCGCGTAGTCCCGCAGCGAGGAGGCCTCTCCTACGGCAGAGAGCACGGCGGTCACCTCTGGGAGGGAGCCGGGGAGCAGGGGACGGGAGCCCCCCCAAGGGCAGGAGCCCCCACCCGCAGAGGGAGGGGGCCGGTGTGGGGAGGGGCGGAGCGGGACATGATCTATGGACATTTGGCTCACTTGTTAGGTTTTACGACTCTTAAATTAATTTGTTTAAAAAAAAAGTAATTAATACTGGGGTAAAATAAAACGAGTTCATCAATGCCAGGAAAATCAATTTCCTAAATGTTCTGGCCGATGGCTTTTCAGTACATTAAACAAAGTTTCATAAATGTCTCCGCTCTCGCCTTGGCCTAATATGAAGACGAAGCCATTTTACTGGAAGTAAGGCAGAGCCCAGCCTGCCTCAGGGGTGGGGGGCCAGGGCTGGCCAGGTGGGACGTGGGCCTGCGGCTAAGGGAGCCTCCCGGTGGGGTTGGGGTGCGCCTGGCTGAGCCTGCCCGAGGACCCTCCCCGAGCCCCACAAACGGACACACAGGACCTTACCCCTGGGAGGGCCTGGCCTGGTGGCCCCGCCCAGAGCCCCCGATTCCTAATGATCCCAGACACAGCGCTGAGGACAGAGAGCCCTGGTGCGCTCACTTGACTTGTGAGTCCCCTGGGCACCGCTCGTGCACAAGGTGGCCGCCCACGGAGTCAGGGCCACAGAGGCAAAAGGCCCAGGTGTGACCCGTCTCTGCCCCACCCGAGTCCACGCCAGGGACACGGAGAACCCGAGGGACCCCCCACAGGGAACCACGTGCACACACGCTCGCCATCGAGCTCACACCCCTGCCCGCTTCCTGACGTACAGACACCCCGAGACTCATCTCAGGATGCGGAGGTCAGATGATCCGACCCTCCCCGGGGCTCTTCCCTGGAGACCCCGCCCTTCCACACACGACCTTCCACCCCCATCAGACAGGTGACCCCTCGGCTTGCACAAGACACTCCTTCCTGCGCTGAACGCTGGCTGAACACCTACTATGTGCTCTGCCCAGAACCAGGGGTGGGTGCACACGGGAGGGTGAGACCCCCACGGGCCCCAGGGGACGTTCGTGTTCTCCCCTCTTGTGTCAGAGCCCGCACACCCAGGCGGGCACACTCAGCGTGTAGAGCCCCAGGCTGCGGGGCCTAGAAGCACCGTCAGGGGAAGATGTGGCCAAAGACAGGGTGGGAGGCGCAGGACTCTGGCCGCGTAGCAGATGGGGGTCTCCTCCTGATCCCCGCGCCAACCTGTGGGGCTGGAGTTCTCAGACCACACCTGGAGGTGGTCCCATAGGGCAAGACTGGGCTTGGGAGCAAGAGAAAACCCAGTCAGATGTGCAGGGAGAGGCTGTGAGCTCCGGGGGCGGGGGGTAAGAGGGGGAGCAGTCCTGGGAGGACTGGGACCCCCCCAGGTGAGAAGGAGACAGTTGTGGGCAGCACCTGAGGCGGGCAGAGTGGCTCAAGAGCGGACAGACAGCTGTCCCCCTGGGGGTGGGGGTGGGGCAGTGGCCTGTGGGCTGCTGCTGTCCTGACCGTAAGCTCCGCGGGGCCGGGGCCCAGCCTGCGAGGAGTGGGCTCTTGCTGTCAGATTCAGTGGCTCAGGGACCAGGGAAAGGGCCTAAAAATAGCTGGAGGCAGCTGAGCCCTCACTATATATGGCAGAGAGACAGAAGGCTGTGAGGGGCAGGCGGCTGAGAGCAGGGAGGGGGCCAGGCCGGGGTCCCACAGGCCTGGGCCCAGAGAGGGCGGCCGGGGCCCAGCCCATCGTGGGTCGCTCAGCCCTGGGCGCTCTCGTGGCCACACCGCAGTCCCACTGGCCCTCAAACCAGAGGGGTGAGGCCTGGCCATGAGACTCCTGGTGTTTCCCGCCCCGCCTCCTGTCACTGGCTCTCCACTCCCCGGAGCACAGGAGGCAGGAGGCAGAGGTCCAGGCGAGCTGGGCAGGACAGAGCTGGGCGTGGGAGGGGCTGGGGCGCTGCAGGGACAGAGTCCCTGGTCCTCCCCTCCCTCCCCTCCTCCCGCTCCCCTCCCCGCGGCCCCGCGCAATCACCTTGCGTCTGGGAAAGGCAAGGGCTTTTCCTATCAGAGGAAACTGAAGGTCACACTTTTCCTCATTGATCTTGCAATGTTTGTTAATTACTCTGTCACTGATGTGGCGAAGGATAATTAAACAGCTCTGTTTATATCTTATATGCATAATTATGTGGCTGCGCAGGGCTCCCCGCGCTGGGAGGGGATGTGCCCCTCACTGCAGGGGGAAGGGGGCAGGGGCGCGGGCAGGGGAGGCTCGGCACCAGGCACAGGCCTGGGAAGGAGCCCGGGGAGCTGAGCGAGACCCCAAATCCTGGGGTTCCAGTTCTAGGGGTGACCCCCTCCCTCCCCAGAGCAGACGGAGTTCAGGGCTGCTCTAAGGACAAGGAGGCATCAGCCAAACCCGGGCCTCCGCCACCTCGTGGAAGAGGTCGGCCAGAGGACGCGTCCGGGGCAGGCAGGTGTCATGGGACATCGGGGCTGGGCCACCCTGAGGCCCTGTGCCCTGTCTGAGGGGTCCTGCTGAGGATGGCCAGGGTCCCCAGGAGGGAGAAGGGGCGGGGGGAGACAGTGGGAAAGCCGTCAGGGAGCAGGGAAGGGAGAGTGGGCGAACAGGCCTGTCCGACAGCCACGCGGAGAAACCTCCCTGGGAAACAGCCTCCGTGGACAGCCCGCGGGCGCGTGTGCTCCCGTGGCCGTGTCCTCCACCCGGCTCCTCTCTGCACACGCATGTAATTGTCTAACCACACACTGTCCGTCCATCCGCCTGCCTGTCCACCCATCTATCCCTCCACCCATGGCTTCCTGAAGACCCACTGTGTGTTCGGCAGCCCCCACCCCCAGACCCGCTCACACGCTAGGAAAGCTGCCTTCTCAGGCCCGTCCCCTCTCACCCCTGGTTTCCCTCGGGTCCCTGCCCAACTGGCCTCCCCGTTCCAGACTGTAGCGGGCATGTTCCGTGGGCACACCCCTTCTTCCCCCTGGGCCTCCTCACCAGGTGATGCCCGTCCAGGGCTCCAGACACCCACCTGAGGGCTGCTTGGCACTGGGGCCACCGCTGTCCTTGGAGGCTGCCCTGTCCGCGTCCTTCTGGGCCGCGCCATCCTTGGGCTCCTCGCCGTGGTCCTCCTCGTCGCTGCAGCCCCGGGGCTGCACCATGTACACGCCCTCGGGGGGCAGCTCCAGGCCCTCGCGGGCGGTCCGCCCCAGCAAGGGAGCGGGCGCCGGCTCCTCGCTGTACTCCCCGTTGACCCACTTTTCGATCACGGCCCGCCTCTTGTCTTCTTCGCTGCGGGGGGCCCGGGCCACCCCTGGCTCAGGGCCGCTGCGCTCTTTGTCCGGGGGCCTCAGTGGGCTGCCCTCCGTGTGGGCGCCGGCCTCTGCCCCCTTCTCCACCACCACCTGGCGGCTCAGCTTGGCGCAGATGGCGTTGAGCTTCAGGCCGCCTTTGCGCTTGGCCGCCATCGCGGGCTTGCCTGTGGGCGGGTCGGGGCACCGGGTGCCTTCAGCTGCAGAGGCTGGAGAGAGAGGTCTGAGGTCAGGCACAGCCACCCACCTCAACAGCCGGGGCTGGGGCTCTGCCCCCAAACCCCGAAGCCAAAGGTCCCCCACTCTGTCCTGAGACTGCCCGGCGCACGTCTGAACCCCTCCTAGGCTGAGCTGTGCAGGGCTCAGCTCGCCCATCGCTCTGTCCCGGGGCCTGGCTCTAAGCTGGGCACGTGCTAGCCGGTCCGAGGGTTTTGGAAATGGACGAAGGAAGGAACGACTCCCCCCACACAAGGGCAGTCTTCTCCCAGCACTGGTTCCTGGAAGCACTTCCTACCCTTGTCTGGCCCGAGACACCTCCTCTGAGAGGCCGGCGGCCAGGCCCCCGTTGGTATAAAGGATGCAGGCTGAGGGCTGGGCATGGGGCAGAGCCAGCAAGACGAGCAGCCTGACTCCACTTGTGAGCGTCTACCCCACGGCCCACTGGTGGGGAGACCGCTAAGAGCCAGGGGCAGCCGGGCAACCCCGTGCCTGACTGTCCCAGCAGCCCTGGCTGGCACCTGTCCCCACCGGGACATCTCATCCCAGGCTCTCCTCTGCCTGGCCCGCCTGGTCCCTGGGCCACGCCTGAGCCCAGCCTCTGCCCACGGGGGAGCCGGAGACCTCCTCTTCTCCAGCCTCTCCCGCCAGGGTCCTCTCGGCCCCTCCCTTGTCTCCTCCGGCCCTTTCCTTCCCCGCTCCTCCCCTAGCCCTCAGCCAACGGCAGAGCTCCTCACAGCCCCTTCGAGGCCACTCGTCCCTGCCGAGGCCCCGGCTCTGCCCTCTGCCTGGACCCGCTCCTGCAGCCCTGGGAGGCCTGGCTGGCCCCAAGAAGCCCACTTCCCAGCTGAGAAGGCGCAGCAGCAGTGCCTAACCCCCAAACCCAACAGCCCGACGCCAACGCCCCAAAGTCTAACCGAGCTGCCTGCTAGCCATCTCCCACGGCTGCTGAGCAGGCTGCCCAGGGTCCTGGTGGCACATGGCAACCCAGATCCCCATGCAACCTGGGAGCTGCCTCAAAGACCAACAAGGGTGCCTCTGTCTGCCTGTCCGTCCGTCTGTCCACCCACCCATCAGCAGAGCTGCTCCTACTGTGTGTCCCTGTGGCCGAGCAGGGGCAGGGCAGTGGCCACGACAGACACATGGTGCACAGGCAGCCCCAGCAAAGCGTCTCGAAGTCAGGACTCCCTCACACGTCCCCCAACAGGAGGGGGCACGTTCACGTCTCCACACAGGTCAGAGGCTAACGAGGGGAGGGGCTCTGCTCCCCAGCCCATGCTTAGAAGAGGCTTAGGCAGCCACACTCCACCCCCACCTGGGGGCCCCCCTGAGAGGCGGTCAGACAGGGATGCCCACACCTATGCCTGGCCACAGGTAGACCTGGCTTGTACACGTGGATGACTGTCCCCCATGATTCAGGCGATGCCCCGTGACCCCAGATCCTTGCCCTGAAGCCAGCTGCCCGTGTATGGCCTCACTTGGCCCAGAGGGGCTCGGGGATCCCAGCCCAGCCCAGCGTCAGGGACAGGTCGACTTGGCTCACCCCAGTCCTCCCAGTCCTGTGGCCCTGGCTCTGCTGGGCCCCACCCTGGCCCAAGCCGGATGCCCACTCTCCCCATGTTTGTCCACGTCTCCAAGTCTGTGCTGCCCACACCCAAGTCTCCAAGCACCGACTTGGGGCTCCTTCTCCAAGCTCAGTGATGGGGCCCCTAATCGCACATCTCACCCAACCTCCGGGCCGGCCGCCAGGCTCCGTGACACCAAGTTTCCTCCAGCCGCCTATGGCGAACAGAACGGCCTCACCTGGTCCCCGCTGTCCCTTGCCCTGGTGGGGACGGGGAGGGTGGGCGTGGGGAAGCCTGCTCTATTTTTACCGGGAGGTAAGCAGCCAAGTGTGTATGGCAGACGGCAAATGAATCTATAAATATTTATCCCGAGGAAGAGGGAAGCAGAGGCTCCCAGGGCTGCCCTTGCTGTTGGTGACACCCCCTCCTTGGGCCCCCACCCATCCTGGAGCCTCCCGGCACTTGGGCCCACCCAGCCCTGCCCACCCCTCTCCCCATCTCCACTGTGCGCCTGGCTGGGTTCCTCCTGGGCCCCCACCAGCTGCGATGCAGCTGTGCGCCCAGGGCCCACCCCCCGCCTGCAGGCCCCTTCGCTCCACCTCCACCCCCTCCACCTGCCCTCCAGCTGCTGCTCTGCCCCAGCCCACCTGCCTTCCAGATGTTGCCCTCCCTCTGACTCTACTGTGGGTCCCAGGGGTGGAGGTGAAGAAGGCACGTGGGCCGGGGGTGCAGGGCAGGAGGCGGAGACTGACCTTCTGCGGTGAGTGGCAACGCGTGCGAGGCTGGGGCAGCAGATGGGGGTGTCAGAGCTGGGGTCCCAGTTGCCTGCACGCCCACCCTCCCTAGCCCATCAGGGCCCTGGGACCCTGTAGACGACCCCCCTCATGGTCTGACCCCAGGCTCCCGTCCATGTAAACATTCCCTGACTTTCTTCCCTAAAATATACACGCCATGGCCAGGCCTCAATGGGAGGAAGCCATCCGTCCCCGGCCCTGTCAGTGCCCCTTTCATCTCCTTCCCACCACCAGCCTGCCCGCTGCTCTATTTACACTGGACACTTCCTCTGGGAACAATACTGCCCAGGAGGCAGGCTCGGGCCAGAGGGTGGAAGGCGGGGGACTCCCGTGCTGCTCACCCAGGGACGGGCGCCCCTGACGAGGTAAGGGGCAGGCAGCTGTGTGGGCCTGGCCAGGCCTGGGAAAAGCAGGGGGCCCTCCTGCCTCAGCCGCTGGCTTGTGGCTCTGAGACGCCGGGCGAGCCCTGGGAGGGGGCACAGCACCGTGGTTACGGCCTGGCCTCTGGGGCCAGACAGCCGTGAGCTCACAGCCTGGCTCAGCCCCTTGCTAGCTCCCGGCCCTGGGCACGCTGTCTGCCCGTGAAAGGGCTGCAGGACTGTAAGGGGAGAGGGAGCCTGTTGGTGCCAAGCACAGGGCCTGCCTGGCAAGCAAGGGCCTGGGGACGGCAGGCGAGTCCTAGGAGGGGAATGACAGGCCAGGGTGGTGCCACACGTGGGCAGGAGATCCCAGCCAGGGCACCTCACCTGGCCGGACAGGTGGAGGAGGAAAGAGCCACTAGAGAGCAGGGCTGGGGCAGGCGCCCGCTCAGTGACCAATGGCCGCTCCCCGGCTCCCGGGGTCTGAACCTTCCCTCCCGGGCCCCCAGCTCCACCAGTCCCCGGCAGGCAGCTCTGGCGTCTGACCCGAGTGGCTCCTGCTCAGGTGGGAAAGCAGGGCCAGACGGCACTGGCCGTGCCCTGCCCCGCTAGCTCCCGATGCCTCGTGGTGAGCCGCCTGGCAGGTGCTGGCGCGGTCCCCTCTGAAAGGGAGGAAACTGGTCCCGGAGCCGCGAGGATACCGAGTTCACGAAGGCCGGGCTCAGCCAGGCGCCGGGGCTGCCAGGATGCCCCCGAGAAGCCACTGGGTAGGCTCCCAGCCGTCCTAGGCCTCCGTGTCCACCCCTCCTCACCCAGGCCCGGTTCCCAGAGCATGGAGCCCCCTAAAGCGTTAACTGCAATGGGTAAAACGGTGCAGCAGATTGCCACAATAAATAATTTACTGATATTTATAAATATTCAAATCAGCCAGCTTCAGAAATCCAGCGAAGGGAGGGCCCCGGGAGAAGGGCCCGTGCTGGCAGGCATCGCATCACTCCCTGCACAGGCTGGGAGGCCAGGCTCCTGCCAGTTCCGGGGTGAGGGGCTCCGGCACCTGGGCCCCTCAACCTCCTCTCTGGGGACCAGGGTGTTGGGGTGGCTGAAACGCCTCCACCTCCTCGCCTGGTCAGGGTCAGGCCTTCCCCCCGCCCTGGGCTCCAGGGGACCAGGGCTCCGGGCTCAGATCTGCCGGTCCTGACAGTGGGGGGCCGTCCCCAGGGGCCGGGCAGGCCTCCCGCCCGTGAGTAATGCGTTTTGAGCCGGGGCGGCCTGTCAGCGACCAGGCTCTGGGTGCTTTATGGGCTCTGCCTGGTGGCTCTGCACTCCCTGGTAGGAAATAAAGTTCTCCCTGCGCGTCCCTTCTAAACATTTCACTCAGTGGAAACGGTGTTTAAGAAAAATGAGGACATATTTCTTCCTAAGGATGCAGTGTCCCCTTTGGGCGGCCTAATGCCCGCTGTATATCAGGAGGTGGTGAGGCAGGGGCCAGGCACCGTCCGCGGGTGGGGGTGGTCCAGTGCCCGCCTGCCTGCGGCCGGGCAGCACGGGGACCCTGGGCACCGCGGGGTCGCCTGGTGGCACCCCGCCTAGAGCGATGCAGTGGCTGGCACCCACTGAGCACCTCCCTGGCGCAGGGGATGGTGCTGAGCGCTTCCCCCAAAAGGTCCCCACATGGCCACTGTCCTGTCCATTCCAGATGAAGGGGCAGAGCCAGTGAGGCTGGTAACTGTCCATGGCCACCCAGCGTTCGTGCTGGAGCCAGCTTCCGACTACTGAACTCCAACATCCATGGTCACGGTCTGAGATCTCCCCCCACCCACCTCCCACAGCCTCCCCTCCAGGTGGAGCAATGCAGGGGCCTCCGCCCTGTGACCCCCATGAACCGGAACTTGGCGGCCACAGCCTGTGCCTGTGGGTCTGTGCCTGTGTGTATTCACACACTACCCTCACAGGGCACCTTCCACAGGCCAGTCCCGGGGGCACGATGCCAGCAAGGCCAGCTGTCCTGTGCCTGCGTCCTGGGCTGTTTAGTTAATTCACCGACCTGTGTATTGACTTTTGTGCATCCTCACTCCAGGACACTGTCCCATTGATTTTTAGAGAGAGTGGAAGGGAGGGGGAGAGACGCAGAGAGAGAAACATCGATGGGAGAGAGACACATCGATTGGTTGCCTCCTGCATGCGCCCCAACCAGGACCGGGGATTGAGCCTGCCACTGAGGTACATGCCCTTGACCGGAATCGAACCCGGGACCCTTCAGTCTGCGGGCCGGGCCGGCACTATCCACTGAGCAAACCCGGCTAGGGCGGACTGTTTAATTGAGATGAGAGGTGACGTTCAAATCATTACAAGCAAAATCACTGTGGTGAGAAGTTGAGGTGCCCAGGAGCTAGGAGTGTGGGAAGCAGGGAAGGGTCCTAGAGACACTGGCACTGGTCCCTCCTCCCCCACAGGCTCCCTGGGTGGCTCCACCCCCCTTTCCCCTCCCCCAGCACATAGCCCATCTCCCATCCCAACAGTCCCCCCCTC